TAAAAGTACTCGTCAAGGTCCCAGTAATGTTCCTAAAGTTAACGCTGTTTTAAATAACATCAAGTGTTGGAATTGTGGTAATGAGGGCCACGTATTTAATGATTGTAGTTAAGTCAGAAAAAGGTTCTGTTTTAAGTGTGGTAAGCCTGATGTCACTGTACGTACGTGTAGTGTCTGCTCAAAAAACTAAGAGGTCAGATATACTGTAATTCTGACAATAGTATATCTTATAGTAGTCAGAAAGTCAGATCTCGTTTATGTAAAGTAGTTAGTGAATTCAGTGGATGTCGTTTGGGGAAGGTTAAGGAAAAGAGTACATTTCATAAAAAGTTTTATCGTACAAATCCTTGCACCTCCCGCGACGATTGGGAAGCTTGGCTTCTTTTTATTAAGGATTTTTATGATAGCGTGGTTCCTAAAACCTCTGAGTTATTTAGCCGGCGAAAAAACGACTTGCGACCTTATATTACCGTAACTGTGTTTGACAATCCCTTAGTAGCCTTAGTAGATACCGGAGCTAGTCACTCTGTAGTTGGTCAAGAGGGAATCTCTTTTCTTAAAAAACACAACGTCAGGGTAAATAAAAGCAAAGTTAAAAATGTTTTCACAGCAGACGGGAGAAAACAACCCATAGTTGGTTTTTCTGAAATACCTATAAAAATCAATAATGTAGTTAAGTTACTTAAACTGCTGGTGGTTCCTTCTTTAAGTGCCTCGGTCATCTTTGGTATCGATTTTTGTTCATTATTCAATTTAACTTTAGATTTTTCCTCCAATACTTGGCATAATAAAGTAGACAATTTTTTCATTGAAGCCATAGCCAAAAGTCCAGAGCCAGATACTGGTCTATGTAATTTAACATCTCAACAAATAATTGAATTTAATAACATAAGATCTCTTTATAACAATTTAACTAGTAAGGCTTTGGGTAGAACTGATAAATTGATCCATCACATCGATACCGGAGATGCCAAGCCATTCAAACAACGTCAATATTTGCTATCACCCTTTATGTTGGGTCACTTGAATAAGGAATTGGACAGTATGTTGGAACTAGGGGTTGTAGAACCGTCGCATAGTGACTGGAACAGTCCAGTATTATTGGTTAAAAAAGCCAATGGGGATTACCGTTTTTGCTTTGATGGACGTAAGTTGAATTCAGTTACAAAAAGAGATTCCTACCCTTTGCCTTTTGTGGATAGGATTTTAAACATGCTTCGCGACGCGAAATTTATTACCAGTCTCGACTTAAAGAGTGCCTTCTGGCAGATTCCTTTAGACCAAGAATCTAAAGAGAAGTGTGCATTTAGTGTTCCCGGTAGAGGACTTTTTCAATTTGCAGTATTACCTTTTGGTTTGTCAAATAGTGCCCAGACACAACAAAGACTAATGGACAAAATTTTGGGTCCGGAATTTGAACCTAATGTTTTCGTATACCTAGATGATATCATTATCACTAGTAATAATTTTTCAGATCACATCGCACTATTGCGTAAAGTATACGATCGTCTGAAGGACGCAAATTTAACTATAAATATTGAGAAATGTCAATTTTTCAGGAAGGAACTGAAATATTTAGGCTTTGTTGTGGATGGAAACGGTTTGAGAACCAATTCTGAAAAAGTCGAGGCTATGGTAAACTATCCTAGACCAACTACTACCACCGAAATTAAAAGGTTCATAGGGATGTGTTCTTGGTATCGCCGATTTATAAGTGGGTTCAGCTCTTTGGTTTCTCCTCTTAATGACTTATTAAAAGGTAATAAAGGCAAGAACAAACCTATTAAATGGTCAGACCCAGCGGAAGCTGCGTTCGTAAAAATTAAAGAAGCTTTAATATCGGCGCCTTTATTGTCAAGCCCCGATTTTTCGTTACCTTTTTTTATACAAACTGATGCCAGTTTGACAGGCATCGGAGCTGTAATTTTTCAAGTTATAGAGGGCCAAGAAAAGGTAATAGCCTACTCAAGTCGTGCGCTTAGTCGAGCTGAACGCAATTATTCAGTGACGGAGCGGGAATTGCTCGGTGTAATTCACGGTTTGCAAAAGTTTCGACCTTATATAGAGGGTCAAAAGTTTACGGTTATAACGGACCACTACTCTTTGTTGTGGCTTAAACGAATGTCGAACCCTGTCGGGAAATTAGCTCGTTGGGCAGTACTATTGTCCAATTTTGATTTTGATTTAGTGCATCGTAAAGGTACATTAAATGTAGTCGCCGATTCTTTATCTCGAGTACATCCTGTGGTTGATTCCATTTTAACACATTTAGATAATTTAGACGAATGGTATATCTCATTTAGGGATAAAATTTTAAAGAACCCCAAAGAATATCCTCATTTTAAGGTGGAGAATAATTTTGTTTATAAGTATTTGCCTGAAAAATCAAATATTAATACTAATATTTCAGATTTTAAATTATTTGTTCCATCTTCACAACGTAGGGAAATTTTACAAAAATGTCATGATGACCCATTAGCAAGTCATATGGGGTTCTTTAAAACTTTTAAAAGAATTTCGTCTGAATATTATTGGCCACAGATGCGCCGGGATATTGTTAGGTACATTCGTGCATGTAAGACCTGTAGTGAACAAAAAGTCGCCTTTGAGGGAACTCATGGTAAAATGGGTAATGAAAAGCGAGCTAGTTTTCCTTGGCAGATTATTTCTACAGACATTTATGGTCCGTTACCCCGTAGCAAGAGTGGAAATTCATATATATTACTGGTTTCTGATTGGTTTACTAAATCTGTTCTATTGCACCCAATGCGTCATGCGACTGCTCAAGAAATCGTAAAGTTTATGGAAAATCAGGTTTTTTTAGTTTGGGGGGTTCCTCAATTTATAATTGCAGACAACGGCACTCAGTATGCTGGCAAAGTTTTTAGACAACTTTGTGAGGATTACAAGGTACAAAAAATCTGGTTTAATTGCAGATACCATCCTAGGACAAATCCTAGTGAAAGGATAAATAGAGTAGTCGGTACCGCTCTACGAAGTTATATCAAGGACAAAACATCACATAAAGATTGGGACAAACAAATCCATAAAATAGCGGCGGCGATTCGTTCATCCACATCGGAGGTTACAGGCTACCCTAGCACTTTTTTAAACTTTGGTCGAGTAGTTCCCTTATCAGGGGAGTATTATGGCAAGATACCTAAAATATCAGGTTCAGAATTAGGGCCTACCGATGTTAAATCCTATGTGGATGAACTGTCGAAACTTCCAGAGCTTTACCATGAAATAAAAAAGAAAATGTCCATGGCATATGTTAAAAATCAGCGTGTCTTTGATCTTCGAAAGCGGGATATTGCCTTTAAACCAGGTGAGAAAGTCTGGAAACGGAATTTTGTACTGAGTGATGCCTCCAAAGATTTTAGTGCCAAGCTTGACTGCAAGTACAAACTACCTCTTGCTGGCACCACTGCAGTTCTCGTTCTGATATCCTCGTGTCAAGCACGCTGCGAGGTGCGCGATGGGTATGCGTTGTTGTAGCCTGCCGGCTGGCCAATCAAATTCTATTTGGCGTTCTATCCTTGTTCTTTTCACGCGGGTATTGAACAGCCGTCCTTTCCAGTGTGGTCGGACTTGGATTTGCAAGCACTGTATATACATATAAGTGGCTTAGTAGTGTGAAACTGAATAATTGTGTTGTTTTGAAGAAAGATTCTTTAAGAAACCACCAAAACTTTTAAAAGAAAGAATCAAAATGCCTGATTACAAATACAGCAAATAATAATGTCACAGAAGAATCTTTATGAACAATGTACCTATTATGAATTAAATGTTTTATTTACGATTTTTTTGCCTTATCGTGTTGCTTTATTATTTAGAACCAAAGTTGTTTTCAATACTATGTTCTTATAATATAGAAGCAAAATCTGCTATATTTTAGCATTTTATAACAAAATGTTGTATTTTATAGTAGTCCATTGGGAAAAAATTGCAATATTGCAAACATGTCCAGGTTATTTTTGTATATGTTGAGTTGGATTTAAAATATAGTGTTTAATCGATAGGTAGTATTTTAGCCTTCTAATTTAACAAAATATGTTTATATCTAAATTACACGTAATGCACTTATGATGAGTAATAATTGATTTCTATATACTTTTTAAACTTCTATAGGTATTTCCAAGCTCATTCTTCAAAGAATAGATCTTTTTACAGCATTTTGATTTCTGGCAATCCAAACATTAGTTGCACATTATTAATAAATTAATGCAAACTAATTAAAATGTAATCAAACAAATTTACAAATAAAAGACTTGACAAAATATACGATTTTTATTTTTTTATAAAATATATAGAGTAGGCTGTGAACTGTGGTAAAATTTGACCGATAAAATTTTTGATTTTTATACGAATGTTTTTTCTTGGAAACTTCGCAAGTGGCATTAATTTTTAAGATCAACACTCTTTAATTTAATGCCACGAGCGAAATTTCCAAGGAAAAATCTTGAGTAAATAAAAATCAAAAATTTTTTCAGGGAAAATTTTATCACGAGTGGTATTCGGCAAGACTATTTCACGATTATTTTTAACTGCTGAAACGCATGTTTATTAACATTTTAATTTTAAAATTAAAAACAATTATTTTTAGTACAGCAACCAATTGGTTGCTATGTAACTCGTATAAACGAGTGGTTTTTTCGCTGCAAAACTGAAAAAACCACTCGAAATCTGATTGGTCCATAAAGTAATGAGTGGAATAGTCAAATAAATTTAGTTTCTAAAAATGGCTCGTTCAGGTAGGACCACGAAAAAGCAATTCGAAGAGCTTTTACATTTTGCCCAGGAACATAAAAATATCTTAAACTCAAAATTGAAGCCCACATAAGTGGTGAAATTAAATTCCTTTTGGAATGAATTTTCCACAAGGATTAACGGCAAAAACATTGGCCCGGCAAAGACGCCGAGCCAATGGAAGCAAGTAAGTTATAATTAAATACATAAGTTTAAATGAATGTTAAAGTAATTACGGATTTACAATATTCATGTTTAAGGTATTCTCAGAATGGAAATCAAAAGTGCGGCGCAAGGCAAAAACTATTGAGCAATCGAGGATCCAAACTGGAGGAGGGCCAGCAGACTCAACGGAATTAAATGCCGTTGAGGAGCAATTGCTGGCCCTCACTTCTAAAATTTATTTGGGGGATACTGAGGTAAAAGAGGCTGGTGTCTCAGCCTCAGCCTCACGACCAGGTTAGATTGCTATGGTACACATAAAACAAATTAAAGAGTTGCAAAAACTTTTTTCTTATTTAAATATTAATAGTAGGTATTTTATTTATATTTTAATGAGTTCTTGCCATAACAATTATACAAGTTTTGCAAAAAAAATTTTTGTAACTTTATTATATATATATATATATATATATATGTATATAGGCTCAGAATATATATTATATTAGCAGTGGCGTGCCCAGAAATTTTGTCTGGGGGGTTAAGCCTATGGAAGGGGAGGAGAAAAGAAGGGGGAGAGAGACTGGTTATGAAAAATATATTTCTTCAATTATTTGTTTAAAAATTCTGAGTCTTGGAAAGGAGTTGAACCCCCTATGGCCCATGGGCACGCCACTGTATATTAGTGTAACTGAGATAAATTTAATAGGTTGTTTTTTTTAATAGCGACTGAAGATCTAATAAGCAAGCTGTTTCCCCCAAAAAACACTACACCCGCCCCAGAACCTGCCCCCCTAGAAACAGAAGCAGGTAAATGTGCCATTTTTGGATGAACTAAATATTAATTAGCATAATATGCTAATTATCATATACTTATAATATAATATAAGTATACCTAATCTTTTTTAATTTCAATTCTTTTTTTAGAAGCAGTTTCTATGGCGGAAGTCCGAAAAAGTAGGTAATAAAATAAAAAAATACTGTTTAAAAAAAATCAGTTCAAAATCCATTATCTTTGGATGTACTGAATCCATATGGAAGCAATTGTAGAAAAAACAATAATTAATAATAATATAATATAATTATATTTTATATGGACTAAATATTAATTAGCATAAGTATACTCTTCTTTAATTCCAAATATTTTTTTAGAAGCAGTTCCCAGGGCAGAATTTCGAAGAGGTAGGTAATAAAATAAAAAAAATTAAGGATTTATTTTTTATTTTAAAAAATACATATACTAAAGCAATGAACTATACAATTTTTTAGCACCAAAAAGAACCCGTTTGGAGGCCATTGTAGACCGTTTTGCTGAAGCAAAACGAATCGACGCAGATGCGGCAACTACAGTGGCCTCTGCTATAAATAACTTCGAACAAACCTACAAAAAAATTAAATTGGAGGAACTAAAAGTGAAAGAAAAAATACTTAAACTAGAATATTCAACGGTCAGCTCAGAACTGACACGGACCGGGGGAATCCGACTGTCTAATTAAAACTAAGCATTGCGATGGCCCCAGCGGGTGTTGACGCAATGTGATTTCTGCCCAGTGCTCTGAATGTCAACGTGAAGAAATTCAAGCAAGCGCGGGTAAACGGCGGAAGTAACTATGATTCTCTTACCATTTCATCAATAGAGCCATCCAACGGATGGGAATCGAGGACGGGATGAAAGAATACATAATGGCATCCCTAGCCGACTCCACCACCACCATCAGAGTCGGCAACACCTCCACCACCACCATCAGAGTCGGCAACACCTCCACCCGCCCCATCAACATCAGACGCGGAGTCAAGCAGGGCGACCCACTTAGCCCGCTGCTGTTCAATTAAGTAGTGGATGAACTTCTGGAGTTGACCAACGAGAGCCACAAGGGTGGCACACTAACCGAGAGTTTTTCTGTTGCGGCCATAGCATTTGCGGACGACATAGTCCTAATGGAGGACAGACAGAAGTACGTACCAATCATGTTACATGAGGTTTCCACTTTCTTTTCCCACAGGGGCATGGCCATCAACCCGGATAAATCTACATCAATATCCGCCGTGCCCTCCCGCGGAGACAAGAAACCGACGCCAGCCTCCAGACCCGTATTCTCGGTGGGAGGCCGAAAGATTCCCGTGGTTCAGGACCTCGCCACCTTCAAGTACCTGGGCCACCAATTCGGGACCACTGGTGTTCAGAAACCATCTGCACACAATATACAGCGATGGAACCACTTCCTGTCCAAAGCCCCGCTGAAGCCAGACCAAAAGCTGTGCATCATGAGAGAACATCTAATCCCCAAGGTACTGTACGGTCTGCAGAACACCCGCGTGACCGGTACGGTACTCAAAGACGCGGACCGGATGGTAAAGGCAACAGCAAAGAACATGCTGCGGGCTTGGAATCCTATGCCTTCGATCCGCCATTCCACAACAGCTTCTGGGGAGACTTAAGAATCTCGTAACGAGGTCAGAGGACCAAACAATCCTGGCGGTCCTCCAATGCGACAGAGTAAGGAACATCATGGCTCGGCTCCAGCAGCTATCCGGGGACGTGCCAAAAGACCAGATCTGGAGGGAGGCCATATCCACCGGCCCCATGTCTACTGGCATCCATCATGCGGCGGACGACCCCTCCAGCAGATCCTGGCTGATCCACAAGCCACAAGGATGGACTGGACGGGATTTCGTGAGGGCAGTTCACCTTCGAAACAACTGCCTACCAACAATGGGGATACCATCAAACCCACCAGAGCGCCAGAAGTGTCGAGGCGGCTGCAACCGGAGCGAATCACTCTCCCACTTGCTCCAGGGATGCCCCCACGTCCACTTCGAACGGATCAAAAGGCACAACGCAGTCGTCTCCAAAATCGCCTCTCATACACGGAAAACTTGGCAAACTGAGGAGGAGCCGCACGTGCGCCACGTGAATGGGACACTTTTCAAACCAGACCTGGCCATCCACAAAGAAGGGGACGTCACCGTCATCTGTGACGTCCAAGTTTCCTGGGAGAACGGCGACAGCCTAAATATTGCCTGGGATAGAAAGGAGGCAACCTACAACAACCCCTCCTTTCTGGAAGCAGCCAGGAAACGATGGCCAGGGAAAACGTTCAAGTTCAGGCCCATCATCATCGGGGCCAGGGGAATATGGCCCAGGGCAAATAAACCATCCGAGGAAGAGCTGGACATCCCACTGCCGATCAAAGTGGGATGCGTCAACACCACCCTAAAATGGGGATGCTCTATCCATGCATCCTTCATGAGGAGAATATGGAAGAACAACAATCCAGGAAGAGGGCCAGCCCGTCCTGCAGGTCCCATCTAGCCACCTCTGCCCATAGGCCATAATCCCAGCATTCCACATGTCATTACACATTTATTTTCTTTTATAACTATGACTGATAATTTTTGTTGTTTGTCTTGAAACTTCTTACAGTGCGTCCATGTCCATGTCAATATATATACATATTTGTTATACAATTTTTATATTTCCGGCCCATTACGCTACTACCTGAACTAGGCAAAATCCTTGAGAGACTCATACTTTATGAGATCTCCAAGGCAATACCCGATGCCGACTTGCTCCACCCTGGGCAGTACGGTTTTAGACAAGGACGTTCTACAATATATGCGATGACGCATCTCCATGAAGAAATTCTGAACTCGCCTCGTAAATACGTGGTCGGAATATTTCTGGACATCGCCGGCGCTTTCGACAACTTATGGTGGCCGGCTGCGCTTGTCACCATGCATGACAAAGGTCTCCCGCACAAGTTGGTCGGACTATTGCGGAGCTATCTTAGTGATAGATCCGTATCTCTGACCAACAACTATAATTGTGTTTCGAAGCCTACGACCAAGGGATGCCCTCAGGGATCTGTCCTTGGTCCAACACTCTGGAATTTGACGCTTGACTCACTACTCCGCTCGGTGTTACCTCAATCATGCGGCATTATAGCGTATGCGGACGACATAGTTTTGACCGTTCACGGCGACTCTAGAGTTGAGCTAGAGCGACGTGCGGCAGACGCACTCAACTCCGTCTATAACTGGATGGCGAAACACAAGCTTAGCGTATCTATCGCTAAAACGAAATATGTGTTGTTCAAAGGGAGAAATCCGAGCATACGAATGGGCCCGCATAACATCTCGCGGGTCCCCGAGATGAAGTATCTCGGGGTGATCTTTGACAGCAAACTTAGTTTTGCTTCTCACGTCTCGTACGTGACTAACAAAGCTAAGACCATATACTCCACGTTACGACGATATGTTAGGCAAGTATGGAATCCGGAACTTGTTCCGGCTTTGAAGGTTATCGTTAACGGGGCCATCGTCCCTATACTGTCGTATGGAGTGAAAATATGGGGTCACCGTCTAACGAATTCTAGAGTCGTTCGAACTCTCGGGCAGATCCAGGGGCTTTATTTGAGGACCATCTTGCGGGCGTATCGCACCGCCCCAGTGGAGACGTTATGCGTGGTGGCGAGACAGCCGCCGATTGATCTCCTTTTGTCTGAGATCAGGGTACGGCGTGTAATTAAGAGGCACAGGGAAGGGACCCATGTTGGGGAGCGACTTGTGGTTGCTGGGTTCCAATACCAATGGCAAATTGACCAACACCTGAGAAACTTATCTCTGACTCGTTGGGAAATTCTTTGGGACGCAAGTCCCAAAGGGCGTTATACCTATGACCTGTTGAGCCCCTTTCGAGAGTGGCTAGATTCACCTTCAGCTATTCTCTCTCCTGCTATGATCCAACTAATAACTGGGCATGGCAATTTTGGATTACACCTGCACCGGATCGGTAAAGCACCCACATCGAACTGTGAGTTCTGTGGAGTGTGTGACGATCCACCGCATAGGCTGTTCGATTGCCCGCTGCATAATGAGACCAGAATGGTAGCAGAGACCGTGTTGGCGATTGGCGTAACAAGACCTAACTTCCTAAGGCTGCTCCCCCGTGTCGAGGATACTCTCGACTTGCTAGTCAGATGAGATACCAGAGTCCCCCTTTATGTTTGTATATGTCCCATATACATAACGTAGATTAGGTTAAATTAAGTGAGTGTTTAGTTTTAGATAGTACTTTCTGCACACCCGAAGATGGAGAAACCGCAAGGTATGTGCCATCTTCCATCTGCAACTTGTTGCAGAAATGCTAGTATTTGTCCGTTTGTCCGCAATACTTATATTAATGTGCATAATCGTTATATACCATTTTGAATTTTCATGAGAGAACTGCTCCTTAAGAGCAGGGGTGGAGGAATTTCAATTCGGGCCTCTCAATTTCTGTCCCTACCCACTACTCTGGTATCTCTTCAAAAAGCGAATAAGCCTTTCGAGAAATTAGAGTTGTGTTATTTATATTGTGTTTTTTTATATTGTGGTCCTGTCCAAAGACAGAATTTTATTTTATTTAGGGTGGCCTGGCACCACACCTTTATAGTTTACAAGTTTATATGCTCAGTAAATATTTCTTTATAGTGATTAGTAGTAGAAGGATAGCCCGCCTCTACGTGGCGAAAGGTGTAAACGAAGCTAGGCAATTAGTCGCCGGCTTCACTGATGCAATAAGCCCCTAGTACGGCTAAGAGGCTAAACCCCGAGGTTGCAGACACCTCACAAAATGTCAGAGACCTCCCCGGTGGACTTAATGTTCGTCGATGAGAACCCCTTCAAAACCGTGGCACGAAATAAAAGGCGTAGAGGCTCCGGCGGAGAGGCTATGGCAGGCGATGATGACAACCTGGGTCCTCTGGACTCAGAGTCCTTCGAGAGGCTACTTAGGGCTTTCAGTGCCCACAAGTCCAACATAAATAAGACCATCCTAAGTCTTAAAGACTCAAACAACAAGAAGACCCTACTACTACTATTAACGTCCGTAGAGGGCCTAGAGAGAATATTCTCTACCATGGCCACAGAGTACACCAAGCTGTCCACCGAGCATAAAGTGATGGAAATAATTGATGACAAACTCTCGAAGTTGAGTCTAGCCAGTAAACCGTCATATGCTGAAGCGACCGGATTGCATTCTGCCTCTGCTAAAATAAAAACGCCAGCTGGGAAACGAATCACGCCGGTTAAAAGCACGGCTGTGACAATAATGCCGAAGCAGGGAAATGTGCAAATAAAGTCAGCGGACGAAACGAAGGTTGCCCTGGCCAAAATTCTTAGCCCTCAAGCACTTGGCCTGAAATTCGACGGGGTAGTCCGCACGGGCAAGCTGGGTGTCCGTATTGAATCTAATACGTCGGATCTATCTAAGATCCCGGCGGCTGTGCTTGAGGAAGCGGGTTTGGAGGTGAGGACCAACACCAAGTTGAGGCCGCGAATGTATGGCGTCCCCCGCGAGTATACGTCTGAGACCCTTAAGAAGGCAGTAATCGATCAGAACTTTGATCATCTATCTGGCCCGGAAAAGGCAAAGGCCGAGAGCTCTCTGGAGTTCAAGTTCATGTTTGGCAAAAGGGAGCTTGAAAAACGCAGGCTTTACGTGGGCTGGAGGTCTTTAAGACTGACGGCCACATAAAGTAACTAAGGTGCTTTAAGTGCCAAAAGTTTGGACACCTCAGTACTGACTGCCAATCTGCAGTCCAGTGCGGTCACTGTGAAGGGACACACGAGGATAAGAGCTGTCCCATCAAGGCTGGACCAGCCAAGTGTGCGAAGTGTGAAAGGAACGGGCAAAAAGGTGATGCGATCAAACACCCAGCATCGTCCAACAAGTGTCCGGCATATCTAAAGAAATATGAGGCCACCATACTGAACACCGATTATGGAGCTTGACGAGCCTGTATTATATAAGGTGGCCCAAGTCAATCTCCAAAACTCAAGGGTAGCCACGTCCGAAGCAAGGGTAGTGGCGGAAAGGCTAGGATGGGATATCATGCTGGTGCAAGAGCCATACACCTACTATCATGCTCCATCAGGCTCACTCAGAGTCGGAGGTTTTTCTAGATCTACCAAGATCTTGGCCGACTACTCACATGATCGGTTTTATGCAGCCATCCTTGTGTTAAATCCAAACATAGACATCCTACACCTTAGACAGTACTTGTCAAGCCACCTTGTAGTCGCCAATCTATCCCTTAACGGAGAGAGTGTCGTGCTTCGTCAACGTGTACTGCCCTCCTAGCGAGGATATAGAGCCTTTCGTAGACGAGCTGAACAGGATAGTGCGAGAGATCGAAAGATCGTTGTGGCCGGGGACTTTAATGCCAAGTCCCAATTATGGCACTCCCGCCGAACGGACGAGAGAGGCCAAATACTGGAGGCTCTAATACTCGAGAACGACCTGCACGTCCTCAACGTCGCAGGTCAACCATATACCTTCCAGACCGTCAACGGTGTCAGCAACATCGATGTATCCATGGCAACCGGTGGGCTTCTCCGGCGAATAAGCAATTGGGTCGTCAAGCCCGGACTGGTGCAGAGCGATCACAGGGTAGTGACATTTGGCGTAACCGTCAACACGCGACATACTGCACCTCGCTCGGTCTATTCTTTCAAACGCCTGAACAAGCCAGAGCTTTTGTCGGCTGCAGAAGACCGTATGCGTGTCATAGAGATGGACCAGGTGTGGCGACCTGGGCCAACTGGCATAGACCAGCGAGTGAAGACCTTGACGGAAATGTTAGCTGACCTACGTGATCAGTTTCTGTGCCGAGTGCCGGTAAAGGGCGCCCACAACAAGTGGTGGACAGAGGAACTGTCCGCCACTAGGTCGCTAGTCACAGCAGCCAGGAGAGCCGTGCAACGACAATGACGACAATCTGGAAGAGTACGCGACACGATACCGCGCGATACGTCTCCAGTACAAAAGGTTGATCGATGCTGCGAAGCAACGGTCATGGCAGGACTTCGTCCAAAACCATCTCGAGCGCGACCCCTGGGGAGCCGTCTACAAAATATCCGCTGGCAAGGCCCGAACCCCTACCATCTTGTCCTCCACCACTTGTGGTGACCAGCAGACACTTGACCATCAGCAGACCCTCTCCGAAATCCTCCACAAGTTGTCCCCGGACGACGACATGGAGAACGACCTGCCTACGCACTGGGGTACTCGTGTTCATGCAGACCTGGCTACTGGCAACCTCGACATAGACTCTTCCTTTACGGAAGATGATCTATCGTCAGCCGTCTCTCGAATGCCAAATGGCAAAGCCCCCGGACACGATGATATCCCAGGCGAGCTTATTAAGCACATATTCCCTGTGATTGGCGACTACCTTCTCAGGCTGTTTCAGGACTGTCTATCGTTTGGATACTTTCCGAGATCATGGAAAGAGGGTCGGCTAATTACCATTCTGAAAAGCCCCGACAAGGATCCCAGCGATCCTAAATCCCTCAGGCCGATTACGTTGTTGCCCGAGCTGGGGAAGACATTGATGAAATGATATTAGGTTTCACCGATAATATTGGAAGGAACTTGAGAAATTACAATCTTCCAGAAAGCCGAAGTGATATAGCGGCCGTATTTTGTGGCGAAGAACCGCCTTTTAAAGTTGACTTAAAAATTTATCCGAAAAATGTTAATGCCGATCGAGAATTGAAAAATTTAAATAGAATGTCAGCCGTTGCTTTTTCCGAAAGGAGAATATGGTTACGATACGCAATTAAAATATAGAACAAGACGTACGAAAACTATTACGATCAGAGAATTTTATCGACACAGGATCCAAGTTAGAAGAAACCAATTTTCAATTATTCATCATGCTGATAAATTATTTCAGCAATATTTAGTCGATGCATGGTGCAGAGCAGAAGCAAATATATTATGGTGGTACAAAAACAATTAACAAAAGTTAAGAGTGGCTGGGAAACAGGCAATAGACAGAATGCTGGAGGCTAGGGCAGCCGAAGAAAATTTAAGAGTCGGCAACGTTATTATGTTGCCGTCTAATTTTATTGGAGGACCAAGATTTCAATCAAGAAAATATTTGGACGCTATGACCGTTGTGTCGCGTCTTGGCAAGCCCGATTTATTTATAACGATGACATGTAATCCGCATTGGCCTGAAATTAGTGAAAATTTAGAACATCGCCAGCAATGGCAGCATCGCCCAGATTTGGTAGCGAGAGTTTTTAATTGCAAATTAAACGAGTTCATTGATGATATAAATAATAAACAAATTTATGGTGTCGTTTCCTATTCTATGTATGTTATTGAATTTCAAAAGCAAGGTTTACCTCATGCATATTTTAGTTACTTTAAGACCTGAAGACAAATTAGATACTGAAGAGAAATTTGATTCGCTTATTTGTGCTTATTTTCCAGATCCTGTTGCAGAACCAAATCTTTTTGTAATGATTGCAGCCAACTACGTGCACCGTCCGTGTGGTCGTCTCAATTTAAATGCGCCTTGCATGAGAGACGGTAAATGTTCCAAACGTTATCCGAAAAAGTATAGAAGAAACACAGTATTATTAGATGAACATTTGGGACAACCGGCATACAAGCGACCGGCCGACGGACGAGGCACTGAAGTAAACAATGTACGAGTAGATAATAGAATACAATCGATATGCCACTATGAAATATCAATGTCATATAAATTTTGAAGTATGTAGATCCTTAAAGTCTATCAAATATTTACATAAGTACGTTTACAAAGGCCCCGACTGTATAACTGTTCAAATGCAAAATAATGACGGCATTGTAAATTGGGATGAAATTCGACAATTTCTCGATTGTAGATACATAAGCGCCATGGAAGCTTGCTGGCGGCTATTTGAATTTAAACTGGGCATCCATGCAGTAATGGCTTTACCTGTACATATTCCGGACGACCATCCCATAAATTTTGATGAATTCGATAATGTTGATGATATAAGAGAAGCTCTAGATAAACCGACCAAATTAACAGCCTATTTTATTTTAAATTCCAATTACGTGGAAGCAAGGCAATACAGATATCATGAGATACCAGAGCATTTTACATGGGAAACTAGAACACACATTTGGCGTCCGAGAGTACAAGTAGCTAAGATGTTTGGGTGCATGGTGGAAGTGTCGCCGTTGGATTTAGAGAAATGGTGTCTACGATTATTATTGTCGCACGTGTCGGGAGCCACGTCATTTGAAAGTTTAAGAACAGTTGATAATATTGTATATGAGAATTTTGAGGCTGCCTGTCGGGCCAGAAATTTTTTACATAATATAGACGAATATGATCGGTGTTTGCAACAAGCTTTATGGTTTCGCACGCCGAAAGGATTTAGAAAATTATTTGCATTGATATGTTGTGTGGCTGCAGCGTATGTTGTTGGACAAATTCCGCAACTATGGGAAAGGCACAGAGCTGATTTGATAGAAGATTTTGTAGAACAGTATCAAGGAAACGACATGTTTGCAGAGACAAGAGCATTAATGGAAATCGCAGATGTTTTAAAAAGAAACGGCAATTTCACTCTCGCCCAATTTGGCTTACCTGATGTTAACCAAGATTTAGTAGACTTTTATGAATTACCGTTAGTTAATCACAAAGAAGATTTGTTTGCAGATTTTGCTGGCGATGAACAATCATTGAATGAAGAGCAGCGTGATATATTCCATTTAGTAATGTCTGCTATTGAAGATAATAATAACGTTGATGTGCCTGATGATTTTGTAAATATATTTTATGTCGATGCTCCCGGTGGAACGGGAAAGACATTTCTTTTCAATACTTTATTAAAAACCCTACGAATGAGACGATTCGATACAGTTGCCGTAGCATGGACAGTGATCGCCGCTTTTTTTTTGCTGGCAGGAAAAACGGCACACAAAGCCTTCAGGCTACCATTAAACATTACTGAGAATGCAGGCCGATGCGGATATCCGATGGAATCGGAAAGATCTAATTACATTAAAAATGCAAAACTAATAGTATGGGATGAGGCGCCCATGTCATCCAAGTATGCCATTACTTTAGTTAATAATTATTTACGTGATTTAATGCAAAAACCAAGACGACCGATGGGTGGAAAGATTGTAATTTTTGGAGGCGATTTTCGTCAAATTCTGCCTGTAGTTCCGCATGGACATAGAACACAAATAATTGCCACGTCTTTGAAAGCAAGTCCGTTGTGGCCTTTGATGAGAAAATGTCAATTACATGAAAACATAAGAGCTGGACCTGACCAAAGAGAATTTAGCGAGTGGTTATTACGTTTGGGTGATGGAAAACTACCGCATGTAAAAATTAATAATGCCAACGATGAAACAATACCAAAGGATCTGATAGAAATTCCAAAACAATGTTTAATTAATACATTTGAACAGCTTTGTAAGACTGTATTTGGTGAAAGATTCCAACATGCCTCGACAACAGGAGACCGAACAATATTGTGTCCCACTAATTTATCCGTAAATGAAATTAATAATTATGTTTTAAATAATTTACCAGGCGAAGAAAAAGTATATGTGTCCATAGAGAAGTATGACAATGTCGAAGGTGATGAACTGTATGTTAATCAAGATTATCTGCAGTCAATATCGATAGCTTCTTTGCCGCCGCATGAATTGAAATTGAAAGTGGGAGCCGTTTGTATGTTATTGCGAAATCTCGATGTCGATATGGGTCAATGTAATGGAGCCAGGTGCAAAATAATCGAAATGAAAGATCATGTTTTGTTAGTTGAATTGTTGACTGGCACGCATAAAGGCGAAAATGTTTTACTGCCTAAGATTGAGATGAGTGCGCGCGATCCTGCGCTTCCGAAAGAATGATTACGTTTTCAATTTCCCATTCGATTAGCATTCGCTATGACTATAAATAAATCGCAAGGACAGACATTTGGCAAGATCGGCATTTATTTAAAGAATCCGTGCTTCTCTCATGGACAATTATATGTGGCTTTTCCAGAACAGGTTCCTTCAAAAATGTATCAATTTGCGTGGAGAATACCACCAAACAAGGCAATTTCAAATTTAGAACTGGTCGCTGCTTTACTAGAAACATTGGGTACGAAACGATAGTTGAAAATCTCGAGCCTGTTACGATTGAACAATTTGTCGAAGACGACCTTAATAATCGAGCCCAAGAAGGTGAACCTGAAACTGTTTTAGATTTTGACGATATTGACTTCGATGATGATTTCTTTAATCAATTAGTAATTTCCGAAGAGGAAGACGACGACGACAACGGCGCTGCTGCTGCTGCTGCTACTACTGCTGCTGCTGCTGCTGCTACTACTGCTGCTGGCAAGGCTACTGACGCTACTGCTTATGTTGATGAAGACGAACAGCTGAGGCGTATACTTATGCCTACATTTACATCTCAACAGTTGCGACAGCGTGTGTCTACCGGTGATCAAGCAGGCACTACAGGATTGCGAATGCCGAAACCTACCAAGCGACCACGAGTTACCTACAGTGAATCCGACGATTCCGATTAGAGGATTAGAACAGCGAGGGATGATATTGTTATATTGCTTAGAATTACTTTAAAACTTTTCTGATAAAAATTTATTTTCGATCGTGTTTAACCTACTGTTAAATTTATATAATATTTGTTGTTATAAGAACGAAAATTATTTAATTTGATTTATGCTTAATCTATTAAATTTAAAATTTAGCTGTTGCAAGAATAAAAATTTATTTTGATTTTTGCTTACATTGTTAAATTTAAATTTTGCGTTAAGAATAAAAATTTAATTTTCTGTATGCTTATATTACAAACTATATATTTTTAATTATGTATTTTAAAAAAAGGTTGAAAAATAAATTGTAATTTTTTTAAAGTCCATTCAGTCACCACACCTTTATTTACAAGTAGCTAAGATGTTTGGGTGCATGGTGGAAGTGTCGCCGTTGGATTTAGAGAAATGGTGTCTACGATTATTATTGTCGCACGTGTCGGGAGCCACGTCATTTGAAAGTTTAAGAACAGTTGATAATATTGTATATGAGAATTTTGAGGCTGCCTGTCGGGCCAGAAATTGTTTACATAATATAGACGAATATGATCGGTGTTTGCAACAAGCTTTATGGTTTCGCACGCCGAAAGGATTTAGAAAATTATTTGCATTGATATGTTGTGTGGCTGCAGCGTATGTTGTTGGACAAATTCCGCAACTATGGGAAAGGCACAGAGCTGATTTGATAGAAGATTTTGTAGAACAGTATCAAGGAAACGACATGTTTGCAGAGACAAGAGCATTAATGGAAATCGCAGATGTTTTAAAAAGAAACGGCAATTTCACTCTCGCCCAATTTGGCTTACCTGATGTTAACCAAGATTTAGTAGACTTTTATGAATTACCGTTAGTTAATCACAAAGAAGATTTGTTTGCAGATTTTGCTGGCGATGAACAATCATTAAATGAAGAGCAGCGTGATATATTCCATTTAGTAATGTCTGCTATTGAAGATAATAATAACGTTGATGTGCCTGATGATTTTGTAAATATATTTTATGTCGATGCTCCCGGTGGAACGGGAAAGACATTTCTTTTCAATACTTTTTTAAAAACCCTACGAATGAGACGATTCGATACAGTTGCCGTAGCATGGACAGTGATCGCCGCTTTTTTTTTTGCTGGCAGGAAAAACGGCACACAAAGCCTTCAGGCTACCATAAAACATTACTGAGAATGCAGGCCGATGCGGATATCCGATGGAATCGGAAAGATCTAATTACATTAAAAATGCAAAACTAATAGTATGGGATGAGGCGCCCATGTCATCCAAGTATGCCATTACTTTAGTTGATAATTATTTACGTGATTTAATGCAAAAACCAAGACGACCGATGGGTGGAAAGATTGTAATTTTTGGAGGCGATTTTCGTCAAATTCTGCCTGTAGTTCCGCATGGACATAGAACACAAATAATTGCCACGTCTTTGAAAGCAAGTCCGTTGTGGCCTTTGATAAGAAAATGTCAATTACATGAAAACATAAGAGCTGGACCTGACCAAAGAGAATTTAGCGAGTAGTTATTACGTTTGGGTGATGGAAAACTACCGCATGTAAAAATTAATAATGCCAACGATGAAACAATACCAAAGGATCTGATAGAAATTCCAAAACAATGTTTAATTAATACATTTGAAAAGCTTTGTAAGACTGTATTTGGTGAAAGATTCCAACATGCCTCGACAACAGGAGACCGAACAATATTGTGTCCCACTAATTTATCCGTAAATGAAATTAATAATTATGTTTTAAATAATTTACCAGGCGAAGAAAAAGTATATGTGTCCATAAAGAAGTATGACAATGTCGAAGGTGATGAACTGTATGTTAATCAAGATTATCTGCAGTCAATATCGATAGCTTCTTTGCCGCCGCATGAATTGAAATTGAAAGTGGGAGCCGTTTGTATGTTATTGCGAAATCTCGATGTCGATATGGGTCAATGTAATGGAGCCAGGTGCAAAATAATCGAAATGAAAGATCATGTTTTGTTAGTTGAATTGTTGACTGGCACGCATAAAGGCGAACATGTTTTACTGCCTAAGATTGAGATGAGTGCGCGCGATCCCGCGCTTCCGAAAGAATTAATACGTTTTCAATTTCCCATTCGATTAGCATTCGCTATGACTATAAATAAATCGCAAGGACAGACATTTGGCAAGATCGGCATTTATTTAAAGAATCCGTGCTTCTCTCATGGACAATTATATGTGGCTTTTTCCAGAACAGGTTCCTTCAAAAATGTATCAATTTGCGTGGAGAATACCACCAAACAAGGCAATTTCAAATTTAGAACTGGTCGCTGCTTTACTAGAAACATTGTGTACGAAACGATAGTTGAAAATCTCGAGCCTGTTACGATTGAACAATTTGTCGAAGACGACCTTAATAATCGAGCCCAAGAAGGTGAACCTGAAACTGTTTTAGATTACTCCCTTAAGGCTTGCGGGCCATAAAACTCGCTACGGCGGGTTTTTTTTATGCGCTAATTGCACTTAATTATCAGCGTGCACTTTGCTAAGCTGTCTCTGCGCCTAAGCTCAAAAATCGTGCTAATTGGTTATTGGCACGATAAGGTCAGGTATTGCCCTTCAACTGAGGGTGGGCACCTCAAAACTCCTCTCCTTAAATTCCTTTCCCTAGACTTAGGTCTGTGTCTGCGTTGTTGTCTCCAAGTACTCGCTCGCTAGATATTGAAACAAATATTGGGCTAGGACTAAGCTGGACACGGGTCGCGACCGTTTTGGCTCCTGGTTCCCCCTCGTACCGGTGAAGAGCGTTCCGGTGGCCGGGGTGGGCGGGCGATTGCTTGGCGATATTAAAAATGTCAGACACCTCATCAACTGCTGCCGATGGTGCACCTGACAGTCTCCTAGACTTGTCAGGCGGCAGTGGTTCATCTACAGTTAATAAGGACACTCTGTTCCTTCTGGAATTATCTCTTACGAACAGTTTATCTGATAGCATACAAGAAGGTATTAGCTACCTCAACTCTGGTACATGTCATAAGGCCAAAAAAGAGGACGCCATACGTGTCTTTAACAAAGTCTTTAAACATTTAAACGATGGCATTACCAATCTTAAAAAAGTCCATAAGGTTAAGAAAGACCTTAACGATACCTTTAGCAAATTCAATGAAATCATGGCCAAATTCAGCAGTAATTCTGAGGCAAGAGCAAACGCGAAGGCCAGTGCAGGTGCCCAGGTTACCGTTCCTCCTGTTATGCCCACCTCTCAAAGTGCTCCTACTTATGCGGGCGCCACCGCTTCTGTCGGCAGAGTCAGATCTGTCGGAAAAAAGATGGTTTCTACCAAGGCCATACACAAAATAGAAATCTCCCCATTAGGCTCCACCGACTTCGAGTCGATGGAGGCTGTCAAGAGCAGTATACTATCCAACATCGACCCAGCTACCATAGGTTTCGCACCCTCTAAAATTTACACTAAAAACAAGGCTATCGTTATCGAATCTCATGATGAAAATGTTAACAAGTTAATAGACCTCCCACAGTGGCCGACCCTGAAGTTGCGCGCCGCAGTTCCTAGTAAAAGAAGGCCTCGACTATCTTTATTTGTCGTTCCCTCCAAGCTGTCTAAAAACAAGTAAATCCTATTCACAAGTTCGGCCCCAGAGGCCAGAAATTGGTGCACTGGGCCGTGGAGGTCTCTCCAGGAATGAGACTGGCAATGCTTTCTTTAAAATTCCTTGGAATTGGATGGCAAAACTGTAGGGTGGAGGACAGGACGAGGGTTACAATTTATCACAAGTGCTATAAATTCGGACATACTGCGACTAAATGTCAAGCAGAGGCAACTAGGTGCGGTCACTGCTCCTCGATGCATGATTTGAAGGACTGTCCTGATAGGGATGTCCCGGCGAAACTGAAGTGTGCCTCTTGTTCAACTATCAAAGGCATAAACGACTTATGTCATGCCCCAGGTTCAGAGAAGTGTGTTTCATACGGAAGGAGAGTCAAGGCCCTAATCGAGGATACCGATTACGGGCCTTAAAATCAAGAGTATTAACATATGCCAAATAAATCTACACCACTCTAGAACGGCTACCAACTCCTTTTTCAACTCTCCTTTCGTTAAGGAAAATGATGTGGCTCTTATTCAAGAGCCATATTGCACCTTCTCTAAAACTGCAAATAAACATACTATTCCTGGTATCAACCACTTCAGAACAATTGCTGCCTCGGCTCAGCCCTTTGGATCATGCATTGTGGTGCTCAACCCGCACTTACACGTCCTACCTGTTCAGTGCTTGAACACTGAGCTTATTGCTTCTACTATTTTAGAGTGCGGTGGCCTGTCCCTCGCCCTCATGAGCGTGTATTGTCCCCCCAGGGACGAGCTGTGCGGACTGTTGGACCAAGTTTCAAATTGCATCAATACAATAAACCTGCCCACTATTATCTGTACGGACTCCAATGCCAAGAGTCCGGTCTGGTTTTCAGACCAGTTAGACCATAGAGGCGAAATAGTTGAGAGTTTCGTCCTCGAAAATAATATGCACGTACTTAATACACCGTCCAATCTAACTACGTACAGCTCTGCCCTGGGTGAGAGCAATATAGACCTCACAGTTTGATCCACTTCTCTACTAGAGCTAGTCTTTGACTGGAGGGTTACTGCGGACACGTGCCCCAGTGACCATAGAGCCTTATCTTTATCTCTGAGGGTCCCAGAACCCGCTCACCATAACTCTTTTACATGGACGAGATCCCTGAGGGACCTTGACACTGGTTTAGCGCTAGATATGGCTATCAGGGGCATTGATGCCCTGGACTCAGTTGCCTGGATTCCTGGCAACGAGGCAATCGAGGATAGAGCTGCAGGCCTCAATAATTTATTGGCTACTATAAGCGAAAGATTTCTTAAACGAAGAAAAAGATATAATAACCGCCCGGTGTGGTGGAGCGACAGGCTGGACGTTCTCAGGATCAGGGTCAATAAACAAAAGAGGGCATATCAGA